GACTGGGATGATATGTTGCCTGATGGCATCGCAGCCGCATGTGCGCAATGGTGGGGAGAGTTGGCCGAAGTGGTGAGCATTGACATACCACGTTGGATTTGCTGCAATCTTGACACGCCGATTGCGCTTCATGCCTTCGCCGATGCCAGTGAGAAAGCGTTTGGATGTTGTTTGTATGCAGTCGTCAATGGACAGTCGCACTTGGTATTTGCCAAGGCCAAAGTGTCACCTGTGTCTCCGCCCACGTTAGCCCGCCTTGAGTTACAAGCAGTATGTTTAGCGGCTCGCTACGCTGAGTTTGTGGTGAAGGAGCTGCGTGTTACCGTCACGCAAGTCTATGGCTGGACTGACAGTCTCACTACCGTTCATTGGATCAGTAATCCATCGTACAAATGGAAAACATTTGTGGCTAACCGCGTCAGTCAAGTCCAAGAGATATCGAAGAAGGTCGGCATTGTGTGGAACCATTGCCCGGGCCTTCACAACCCAGCAGATTTACCGTCGCGTGGGAGTAGTGCACAGCAGATCCGTAGTCCGTTCTGGAGGGGCGGACCAACCTGGATCACGGAGCCCAATGACTGGCCGACCGCATCCTCAACCGCAGCTACAGATGAGTCCAGTGTAGAAGTACGAGTGTCAGCCACCACCTGTAGTCGAGAATCTGATAAGGAATGGTGGCTCCGATTCAGTAAATGGTCGAGGGCACAGGGCATGGTGACTCGGATGTTGCAGTGGAAGCACACTGAGCCTCGTGCTGAACTCTATTTTGCAGCAGACAACGTATTGTACCGCATCGTTCAAGCCGCATGTTTCGCTGAGGATCTTGAGCTGATCAAGCAAGGTCAACCAGTGAAGCCCGGGTCGAAGGTGTATCAGCTTGCACCGTTTCTGGATGAGCATGGAGTGCTCAGAGCCGGGGGACGACTTCAGCACAGCGAGTTGGCGTATGGAGCCAAGCACCCAGTCCTGTTAGGCAAACATCATCTGACCGATTTGCTGTTGGAGAAAATGCATGTTGAAAGGATGCACCAAGGTGTAGAAGGAGTCTTGTCGTTTATCCGTCAGAAATTCTGGATTATCGGTGGTCGACGAGCGCTACGCAACATTGCTCAGCGATGTGTTACATGCCGCCGCTACAAGGCTAAGGCTGCCTCAGAAGTCTGCCCGCCGCTGCCAGAAGACCGAGTTGTTCACGAGAGGCCGTTCGCAACTACTGGCATCGACTATGCTGGTCCGTTGTACGTGCGCCGTGGTGAGTCATCTCCGAAGGTATGGATAGCATTGTTTGTGTGTGCCACCACCAGAGCAGTTCACTTGGAGGTGGTCGATAGTTTAAGTACCGAGTCATTTTTGATGGCATTTCGGAAGTTTGTCGCGAGACGTAGTTTGCCGTCTCGGATCAGGTCTGACAACGCTACAACGTTCAAGGCGGCATCTGACAAACTGAGTGTGCCATGGATGTTCAATCCTCCAGCTGCACCATGGCATGGAGGCTTCTATGAGCGAATGGAGGGTACAGTGAAGAGTGCCTTGAAAAAGGAAATGGGAACAGCGTTTCTGAAGGTTCAGGAGCTTGAGACCATCTTGTATGAGGTTGAAGCAGTGGTGAATAGTCGTCCGTTAACTTATGTGTCTGATAGCCTGGATGAGCCACCAGTAACCCCTGCAATGATGATGGGTAACATTTGGATGTCGTCAGCGAAGCCAGCAGGTACCCCAGACGCTACGCATATGTCAGCGAGATTGCGTTACCTCAGTCAGACACTGAAGCATGTCAAGAATCGTTGGGAGGTGGAGTACCTAAGTCAGCTGAACAAGCACCAACAGACCATGTCGCGCCCTTTAGCTGTGGGTGATGTTGTCTTTGTTCTCGATGATACCAAGCGCAAACAGTTCTGGCGTTTGGGACGGATCATCGAGTTATTCCCTGGTCGAGATGGCAAGCGTCGTGTTGCCAAGGTTAAGTTGAGTACCAGTACCCTGTTGAGGCCGATCCAAAGGTTAGTGCCATTAGAAGTATCGTCACAGGACGTGGCTCCTGGGCTTGCCGATACCGCTCAACCTGCTATCGTCCCTCAGCAGCCAGCGTATGAACCGCCAGCACCGTTACCACCACCACGGCAGCAGGAGATGACGCGTTCTGGGCGCGTAGTCAGAGCCCCGGATCGTTTTTGACTTGTGTGCATTGTTGTACGGCGGTGAGAAGCCCTTTGGTGGGGAGAATGTTGTAAACCACCAGTTCTCAATTGGGAAAGGCCTTCGCGCTTATGGCATTGTATTCGTTGAAATGTTGTATTTCGACTCCGCCGTACCGCTGATGTTGCTGCATGGCATACGCTATATGCGTTGTGTGCGTTTTGCTGTATACGCTGTTATGTCCAGTTTTATATGCTTATGTTTTGCATGTACGCTGTTTCTGCATGCTATAAATAGCTGGTGTTATTAGTGTTCATTGTTAATTATCAGATGAAGTGAAATATACTGTGTAAAGGAAAAGAGTTGTCCTCGTGCCGTGTGGTCGTACGATCCTGACAATTTAGAGAATCTTAGAGGGTTCATAACAATTTCACTGCTGTTGTTCTCAGTGTTATTTCTCTAACTTTGATTTTCTATTATCCTTCAATTTTGTTTCAGTGTCCTTCAGTACAACGACGTTTCCTGATGAGTGTTGTACGAAAACCTGTTGGAATCCTTATTTTTTCTCTGCACTATTTCTTCATATTTCATCGTTTTATTGCACATTGTCTCCACCGTTTTACATTGCATGAATAAAGTGTACACAAATGTCGATTCAGCTTGTCTTCTTGATTGCGGTTATCATCACCACTTTACATCTCGATAAAACCTTCGTAACTTGTCGCTTCAGCTGATTCTGTTTATTGCCATCTTAAAACTTTTGTCACCTCGCCGCCTGTTCAAATATCGTGAGACAACAGTAAATCCTTATCAAATACTTCTTGTTACATTGGAAGCCAGAGAAATCCAAGGACAAGGAATGTGGACATCACTCAGGTTTTTAGTACATATATGCCTAGGCTGACCCTCAATTTGGGCACAACCAGGCTTTTACCAGACAGCGGGACTATTTCGGATGAATGAAATGTAAATCAAGCCAGAGATCCTGCTGAGGTAAGGGGCCATTCTGCAATATCGATAGTTTTCACGGAACGAAAAGGTTTAGCTATGACCCTCCCCCGCCCACTCATCCACTTTAACAAAAAGGATATTGACTTGACAGCTAGAATAGGTTGGTATTTCAGCCATCGATATTTTTCAAATATAACCTCTCCTCGACCCACCCACCCATAAACGAAATTTTTGAAATTTTGTTGTGATCGATAATTATTACGGACGGCCCATAAGCAACAAAAAAGTTCTAAAAATCCTCCTCCGAAAACCCCGCATGCTCCCGTCTTCCACCCTTTATGCCCTTGCTGACACTACCCCTTTGTCTAAGAGACGTAATTCACATCTTGTCACCCTTATCCATTCTCTCAAACTCAATCTGTGTCCACCTCACCTCCACTATTTCAACTGGTTTTCTTCCCGTAGCACGAGAAACTCCCTTTCCCTTCCGAAACCCAAGTCCTCCTTTCTACTTCACTCTCCCCTTTTCACTGCGTACTCTGCGTGGCTGGCACTTCCCCAAGAAGCTAAGGACCTTTCTTCCCTCCGCCTTTTTAAGAGCCTTGTCGCGCCTTGACTTTGATTTTGTGTTTCTCATTTTGTTGCAATCACTACTTATCCATGCCGGTTCCTTTTTTTCTTCTCCTCCCCTTCTCCCTTCCTTGCCGTGGTTGGCTAACACCCTCTCTCTTTGTATTGGCCGGTGTTCTCACTGTGCTATGAGATGCTGTAATAAATAAATAAAAATAAATAAGCCTGCGCCGCCATAAAACCCTGTCCAGCTGGCAGCCTCTCGAAGACACACCTTTTTATGTGACAAGCTGGTTCACTGGCAAAATTCAGCGTCCAGCTGGTCAAGTGTACAAGTTTCATAACAAGGACATGTACATGGCAAAACAAGTATCGAAATCAAGATGCAAGGCCATTGGGCAGAAATTTGGTACCGCTGAGGAACCCCACTGCTTAGGAAAATCTGGCCTTCTTGAAGAGAACAAAACCAGCTCCTTGACACTAGAGATGTTTTGCTGAGCGAAACTTTGCGCTTTGATATGATTGTGAATGTTCGCGTGAAACATGATTTTCGTTCGTATGAAGGACCTCCCCGTGAAACGTCCTGCGGAATTTTTGTTTGTGGGTTGCGAACTTTCGAATAAAGTGTCTCTTTTCTTGACATCCAACGAAAGTTCGTGCAGCCGCTCGCAATGCAAAACGTCTCCAGTGTTGGGGATCTGAGCTTTCCACAGGGCTGAATAATTATTGTACTTAATATTTCGGAACACTTAAAACAGAGTTCGGATGTGTGGTTCGTTTACATGCTGCTCGGAGCAAAACCTACAAGTTGTTCTGGCTGGAAATCTGGAGACCGATTTCGTCTCAGATCTGGAGCTGGACTCGCGTTTGGAGCGCGTTGTGGCAGACAATGAGTAGTGCTCTGGGCGAGTTTGAGCTCATTGTATTTCTCTCATCAAGAATTTTCCAATGAGCCCAAGATCTTCAAAATCGGTGAAGTAGAACCAAAGTTATGTTGGAAATTGAGTGCGCATTTTCGTGACGGCCACAGATACTGAGGAAGCAAAAAAGTTATGGAGGGTTAACAGTGTGCGCGCAAAACGATGCAACTGTGCTGGTAACGAGGCCCAGCACAATGTTTTGACTGTATACAAACACCCTTGTTCACCCTTCAGTGTATGTCAGTGTACTGACTCTTCCACTTTGGCCAACGGGTTGGTGTTCTTCCGCTTTGGTGTGCAACGTTCTCGCTTTGCTCCAGGAATGATGTAAATGAACCATACTCAATCCCCTCATTGCCGTGCAAACAAAGAAAGGTGATCATGTCCCTGGTGCTGCATGGAGGCAACAAACCAATGGTCAAGCTTCTGGATTGAAAGAAAGAAATTTGACAACACTTTGTGGTGATGTGGTAATGCAAGATGTCAATAAGGCCATAAGCAATAGGCAAACGTGAATTGCTTCACTTTCTGACTCTGCTTTGGACAAAAGAAATGAGGAAATTTTCAACACGAAAAGGAAATTCATGCAAAGGATACCAAACGGAAACGAGGACAGAAAGAAAACAGTCAATGTGAGAGATAAACTGGCAAATTGATGGAGAATCTCAAAAAATAGTAGACCAATTATGGGTGCAGTCATGTAGCTGATCGACGCCATTTGAATGCTCCGTGAGTCTGCTATCGATTTCCCAACCAATCGTCCAGTGTTCCAGACCTTGAATGTTTACTACCTTGCCATTCACTGTTTACCAGCTAGAGTTGACGATTGACCGGAAAGAAGATAATAGAACATGACAAGCACAGATGAACATAAACACACCCACCCACTCAAGCACACACAAAATAGGGACACACATTCGACAGGCACAGTAGTAGCAAAAAGTAACTTGGAACTTGACAAAGCCCATTTGGCCACCCATTTTATAAATCATTGCTTCTTATGATCTCACCCAGCCTTCAGGTTAAGTGTCTATCGTTCAAGCCAAAAAAGGTCCAGTGTGAGACCAACCCCACCAATCCTCATCTTTCCATAAAAATTACAAAGCCAAAAAATTAAGTAGAGAGGGAACTTCCCCTACTAGAAATGGTGGTTGGGAAATTGCAGCAACAACCTCGAGTACTTTGACCCCTCATCAAATTTATTCTGGGTCCGTGGTTCTGCGTATACCTTTTGAAAACAAGAAGGCTGTTTAAACCACATTTACTCCAGTTATCTCCAGAATGAGATCAACAACCTGGATATATTCTCTGCAAGTCATGTACTTAGTATTTGAGCCCCACATTGGACGCCAATGTTGCAACTTGGAGTGCGTTCTTAAACAGATCTCGGAAAGGTTCGATATTTGGAAACATTAGGAAAAACCCTTTCTGAAGTTTAGGAGGCTCTCCAAAGTTTTCCAGGCTAGCTGAACTTCAAAGGTGGTTGGAACTTGGAGATTCCCGTTTTTGAGAGTCGGCGCTTGCGAACTACTGCAAACAGGCCCCGGCGGATAATGCTCGAGAATTTGATGAATTCTGCTTTTCAATATGCTCGCATTTTGCTCCAAAATAGCACTGATACTGCTTGAATTCTGCTTCGGAAAATAGAAATAGTGGTACATTTATAGATAACTAATTTAAGGTTGCAGATTGATCACAGCATGCATGTATTTTGCATCCCATAAGTCATGTTCTACGAAACAGAAAAATACAAGAATCACAGAATTCTCATTACTGAGCAGTCAAAGCCGCGGAATCGCAAGGTGTACACAAATCATGGACAAGTCACCCTCAGCATGGGTGGGAGGAACATTACAGTTACAAGTAGTATTAAGAGAGCATGTTTGAGAATACCAAAGTATGTGTGCAAGTGGATCTCTCCGATTTCGCTCAACATTTGCAGGTAGGTTCCCTTTGGGGTGTGGATCGATTGTGCAAAGCCCTTGAAAAAGTTTCTGAAGGGAACCTAGAAATTTGCATACCCCTCAAAAATGGCCGAAGTATCACATTATTTATGGGTCTAGAAACGAGTCACGCCACAGCGTATCCGAACAAGCTATGAACAAAACTCCATCAAGCCAACATTGCCTCACCTTAGAAGAGTTCCTGGAGCAGTACCGCTTAGCCACGCCAGGATCCCAGAAGACGAGGTCCTTCACCCCCTGACGCCACAAATGATCGTCTTGAAAATAGCCAATTTACAAGAGCTGGCAAAACAGCCAGCTACGTCCTCAATTGGCCAGAACTATACACCGGCAGATAGTAGAACACCTCTTCTAGCGCTGAGGACATGTCCCCCATCTTCCTTTTGGGGTTTTCTTGAAATAAACGTTTTTGAATTTTTCCACTCGACCACGCTGAAATACGGCCAAAGTCATACCTGCGCCGGAAAGCTCGCCCCTCCGCGACGTCTCCTCAGCAATTTCTACTCCAACACTACTCCCAAGGCCGCAGAACAAAGTGTATTGTTGACTCTGACAAGGAAAAGCAGCGGTGATCACTTGTCACTCCAAACGACAAGCTTCTCCTTGCGCCACCAATAATTTGTTGTGCGACTGTTGATGCAAAAGTGACTGAAGTCCTGAGCGCAGTTTTTGAATTTTACTACAAGATACACAGTGAGATCGCGTGCTCTGTGACGTAGAATGACGCTTCCTGGATCACGACACGCGGCCATCGATCGCGAACTTGTCTGGAACGCTAGTCGGAACAGACCATGATGGCAGAGGTAAGATGAGCTTCATTTCCTGCTTGATCTGCTGAGTACCCCCACAAACTGTCCTAGAACTTCAACGTACTAGAAGTGTTGCAATGGCAGCAAGCCGTTGAAATATGCCCCTCGTACAGCATGGAGAGTTATTCATCTTTCACACTTACCTCCTGCAATCCCGAACATAGTCCAACAGAAAAAGTCCCTTGTTTTCATGTCAATGCTCGACGAAAGCTGCTAGCTCGGTCGCTTTGTGTTGACTGGCACGCGAGCATCACTGGCTGCACGCACTTGTCACGTGAACTGCATGACAGATTTCTTACGTCATAAAGAATGTGATTTCATCATCATTTCACTGGTCTTCGACCTACATGGTCAGGGAAAGTCCCGGTTCGTAGGCCTACAACACGGTCAGCGTGTTCTTGAGCGCAGTAACAACACAGGTGTGATCACTTCCAGACCAACGGGCGACCAAGGCGAGTAACAAGCGCACTTGACGAAGGGGACTCTGAAATCTCGTGAGCCGTGATCCACGCGACTTGGCATTCTTGCGTCACAAGGCACGTGATTTCACCGTGCCTCTTGTAGTAAAATTCAAAAACTGCGCTCAGGACTTCAGTCACTTTTGCATCAACAGTCGCACAAAAAATTATTGGTGGCGCAAGGAGAAGCTTGTCGTTTGGAGTGACAAGTGATCACCGCTGCTTTTCCTTGTCAGAGTCAACAATACACTTTGTTCTGCGGCCTTGGGAGTAGTGTTGGAGTAGAAATTGCTGAGGAGACGTCGCGGAGGGGCGAGCTTTCCTGCGCAGGTATGACTTTGGCCGTATTTCAGCATGGTCGAGTGGAAAAATTCAAAAACGTTTATTTCAAGAAAACCCCAAAAGGAAGATGGGGGACATGTCCTCAGCGCTAGAAGAGGTGTTCTACTATCTGCCGGTGTATAGTTCTGGCCAATTGAGGACGTAGCTGGCTGTTTTGCCAGCGCTTGTAAATTGGCTATTTTCAAGGCGATCATTTGTGGCGTCAGGGGGTGATGGACCTCGTCTTTTGGGATCCTGGCGTGGCTAAGCGGTACTGCTCCAGGAACTCTTCTAAGGTGAGGCAATGTTGGCTTGATGGAGTTTTGTTCATAGCTTGTTCGAATACGCTGTGGCGTGACTCGTTTCTAGACCCATAAATAATGTGATATTTCGGCCATTTTGAGGGGTATGCAAATTTCTAGGTTCCCTTCAGAAACTTTTTCAAGGGCTTTGCACAATCGATCCACACCCCAAAGGGAACCTACCTGCAAATTTTGAGCGAAATCGGAGAGATCCACTTGCACACATACTTTGGTATTCTCAGACATGCTCTCTTAAATAACACAAGTTACACAACACACAATGGGCTTCAGAACTAAGAAAAACTTGCATTTTATACACATGCCCAGGGCGGTTCCAGGGGGGTTCGGGGGGTTCGGGGGAGGGGGGGGGGGTCGAACGTACCCCCCTGATTTTTTCCGACCATAGTTCGGGTGTGACCACTAACTCATGCTCATGCATGCGAAGTGCACACCCCATGCTATGGCCCAGTCGGCCCAGGCCAAAGCGGTCTGCTAGCTATGCACCTTGGTAGATCTACATGACGTTGTACATTGTTGTCTTGTATGTAGAAAAGTAAAGTACTAGTAGATCTGCACTGAATGTACAGCTATGCGTTCGCTTTGGAGAAAGAGGTGCATGCATTTGTTGAGCTGCTGTGGAAACTAAGTTCGAAAGTAAGTTTCAAATACTAGTTTCTGAATAGTGGCCGTGCACTGCTGTATTGTCGTCGTGGTTCGTGCTTTTTGAGCTGTCTTAGAGTTCTTCGAAGCGTCTAAAAGATGCAGCTGCCATTGAATTTTAGTTACACTCCAAAGAAAAGTGTAGCCAGTAGTGTCGAAGGTAAAACAAAGAGAGAAACTTTGCAAATCACCTTCAAGTTCAACGTCCCATCCAATAATCAAAATTTCTCCGAACTGGGGATAATTATGACTGAGACACAAAAGATGCAGGAAACCTGCCTTACGGAACCTACTATACAGTGGAGTCAACGTCGGGCGGCTCGGAGTACAATGTTACGGACAATTATTACAGACGAGCTGCTAGAGAAAGTATCAATCAGCTATTCTGTGGCAAAGAAATTGAAATTTTCTTCGTTGTGCTGTGTGTCTTCAACAATGTTATAGCTGCAGAGTGTTGAAAATAGGGGTACTAAAGTTACTTTTTTAATTAGTGCTCTACCGATAACGCGAACGTTTGAACATGTTATACAAATGTGTATGTCATCATTACGTCATTGTGGGTAGGGTGGGACAAAATTGAACCCCCCTTGGACAAATCCTGGATCCGCCCCTGCATGATGCCAGACTCCAGGCTGATAACCCGATGGAATTAGCTTTGGTCGTAGTACCTAGCACTAGCAGTCATGTTCCCTGCCTGCAAGTTTCTCCAAGGCAACATGGCATTTGTTGAAATGCAAGAGCAGGGTTGCTTCCAGATGATCAGTCGCCAGGCTTGTCAGCCTGGAACTTGTTGCTGACTGCATCTGTTTGTCGTGATAAATCTAATATTGACATTGTACTTGGTCAGTATAGGAAATAAAACCTCGCAAAGGACCTCAGCTTTGCCTCGGTCTTTTACTTCGCTTTTATTTCCGATATTGACCTCGTACTCAGTCAATATTAGATATGTAGTGCGATGCAACTAGCAAGAAAAACTCAATCATTCTCGGGCCAATTTTTCAAAATTTAAATTTCAAAGCATTTTGGCACCATATCGAATCGGGGTTCAGAATACCAGTTTCGTCGCCTCAAACAGAAGCCTGTACTTTCATCTTGTGTATTTTGCTGATAAATCTTCCCCGACATGTTCTGATGCTATGGGAACTACTGACATGATTACATGAAGTAACAGATGAAGGTTGGAAGCATTTTATTTTCATCCATGCAAAACTGTCTCTTTCTTAGGGAACGCCTTCTTTGGGCTACTTCGAGTGGCCATAACCCCTCCAAAGTGGCCAATTACATACCTAAATATATTAA